TTGAAAAATACCAAAATTAACATTGGAAAGATGAACTGTAGTCAACTGTCTCCACTAGTTACATTGCGTCACAAGAATGTAGTTTTGTTTATAGCTAATGTAGTGTCCAGTTTCCATGGAACTGCAGTTTGCCTGATGACCCGATTACTCTTCTTCTCAGTTGCTTCACTGATTCAGAATCTTGAAGTTTTTGACAAGCTTTCATTTTGAATCTTGTTATGATGCACATACATGTTGGCATATATACCAGTACTACTTTCTGTGTAGTTTTGCTCTATAGCCCAGGTCGGGCTTGAATTTATGGACTTCCTCCCTTAGCCTCCCTCCTGTGCAGGGATTACAGGTATGTACACCTGACAGGGCAATCTTATTTTAAAGCAGGTCTTGTCTTTGACTATTTCACTGGACCAGAATAAAATGGAGGGAGAAAAAACAAATATGAAAAATGTAGGGAATTGTCTAGAAAACTAAAGTTACTACATTTAATGATTTATCTTTAAGATATTTTCATTCCCTTTTTAAACAAAATCCTCATTTTAGCAACATGGTGGGCTTCCCCCTATAATTGCTTATCTGACCAAATTGCAGATAGATCAAAATATTGACAGCCAGTTTGGTATTGATTTACTCAATCTGTTTTTGAAACTTTTAGGTCCATAAAATCCAAATGCTGCTTACTGCTGGTTTGAGTTGTATCATTTATGGTCAGACATGATATATGCGTGCTTTTTCCTTGAACAATATTTTCCTGTCTTATCAACTAGGTGTCCAACAATTCAATTCTGACACTATCCAAAGCAAACACAAACCCCACAGTTTAGAACTCAGTCCCACAAGACTGTCCTTGCTTCATGTCTGCCCAGCCAAATACTCTTCTGGGTTTGTCTCCTCATCCCAGCTATACCCTATTTGATAGTTTGCTAAAGTGATTCCCAGAGCTCAGGAAAGAACTTTATTGTGATTAGTTTCTTATAAAGAATACAGTCCAAGAATAGCTAAATGGAAGAGGAGCACAGGTCAAAGTGTGAGACGAGGAGGACGTGGAGCCTCGCTGTGCCCTTTCCACACAGCACTCCTTTAAAACCCTGGTTTCATTACATAGATATGATGAAGTAATCAGCCATTGGCAATTAAATTCAACCTCCAGCCCCCTCCTCCTTTCCCCAGAGGTGGTGTGTGTCTCCACCCCCTCACCCCGGTAAAATAAAAGAGTAGGGCTGAGTGCCAACCCTCTCCAATCTTGGCTTGATATTTGCTGTGTAAAGGAATAGTAAGAGTTGAGTGCATTTGTCACTAAATCTAGGGACAGTGCCACCCTTTCCTGCCTGGGCCTTCATGTAGCACAGAAGTAGGTGCCTGATGTGTTCTGGAATTAAAGTTTATTTCTTCTTCTCCAATAATAACCATGCTCTTCCTCATATCTTGCCTTGTTTCCCATCTCTTTATTTTTGACTACTAGTGCTTCTTTGTGTTTTGTCTAGAGTTGTATTTGCATCCTTAGCATCTCATTTTGAACAGTTAATCAGAAAACCACAGTCAACTTCTCCCTCTTTTTTTTTTTTTTTTAAAAACCTTTTTGGGTTTCTTATAAATGGCCTTTTTACTATGGATATTATTTTGCCAGGAAAAATTGGAGTGGCCAGTTGATTGTTGCCTCAGAGAGGTGTATGTATATAAAACTGCCCCCAAGTATCTGCAGGGAATTGGCTGTAGGAACCGTTCCCCCTCCCCCAAGATACCCAAATTAGCATTCTCATCCTTTTATTGTTAAGTGGCACAGCATTTGCAGATGATAACTTGTCATCTCTGGATTACTTACAATACCTAATACAATATAAATGCTGGAAAATTTTATTTAACTGATTAATAATTGGTGTGTATGTGTGTGAAAAAGACAGCAAGTACAGTGTGCATGCTTATGCTCCACCTTATGAAGGCTCTGGCTGTTTCCGCATACAGCAAACTAGCTGGCCTGTGAGCCTTTATGAGCCTCCTGTTTCTTTCTGCCTTTCGTCTGCTATCAGATTGTTGGAATTACAAGTGCACAACACTGTATCTGGCTTTTTCTGTGAATCGAACTCAGATTGTCCGGCTTCCTATAGTCTCCTAAAATACCAGTTTTTTTATGGAATTCATACAATACATCTTAATCATATTTAGCCCCCCTTTCCATTTGTGCCCCCATATCCTGCTCACGCATTTTGTCATATCTGTTAAGGCCTATCCAGTCAAGTTCGTGTACCCAAATGTCCCTTCATAAGAGTTCATCCACTGTAGTCTAATCAGACTATCTAGAGTCACTCCCTTAAGATTAACTCTCCTTCACCCAGCAGTGATCAGTTACCAGTAGTTCCTCACCAAAGTTGTGGCCTCCTGCTCATCTCCCCAGTTCTATGTTGGTTTTTGTCTGTTTTCATGGGTCTTGGGCATGCTGTCACCATTGCTGTTATGTTCATATGAACAAGTTCCCAGGAACCTGTAAGAATCTGTTTCCATATGGTAATGCACCCCCTCCTAGCTCTCACAATCTTTCCACCCATCTTCTGCCGTGGTCTCTGAGCCTTGGATAGGTGAAGTTTAATTTAGGAGTCCTCTCCAGGGACTCACACTCCGCAGTCTCTTTTTCTCTACATTTTAGCCACTTGTGGCCTTTTGTGTTCATCACCTTCTGTTGCAGGAGGAAGCTTTGCTGATGACCAAACTACTATTTTTTGAAAACTGAAAAATACTGTTCTGCATTAATTCACAGGTTTGTTTGTTAATTATTTTTACATTTAGCAGTACATTTGTTTCTGAAGTTGAAAGCTATAAGCAACATTGACCTTTGTTTCAATAATCTTTGCTATAGAGTTATATACAAGTTGCCATTTAGCACTTACTGGTTTTTGTTGTTATTTTGAGATAGGGTCTCACTAGGTAGCCCTGCCTGACCTGGAACTTACTGTGTAGACCAGGCTGGCCTGGAATTCACAGAGATCCACCTTCTTCTGCCTTCCAGGGGCTAAGATTAAAGATATACACCACCACCCCTGGCCTTAGCAGTTATTTGCGATGACATTTCAACTGCTGTACTGACAAATGTCTTTTATTTGCTCTTTTGAAAAATAATTGAAATTTCGCTGGGCGTGGTGGCGCATGCCTTTAATCCCAGCACTTGGGAGGCAGAAGCAGGTGGATCTTTGTGAGTTCGAGGCCAGCCTGGTCTACATAGTGAGTTCCAGGACAGCTGGGGCTCCAAGGAGACCCTGTCTCAAAAAGACCAAAAAAAAAAAAAAAATTGAAATTTCAGGGGCTGGAGAGATAATTCAGTGGTTAAGAGCCCTGTGACTGCTCTTGTAGAGGATTCAGGTTCAACTCCCAGCACCCACATGGTAGCTAACAACCGTTTGTAACTCCAGTTCCAGGGGAATCTGACACCCTCTTCTGACACTGGTGCACTTGCATACCTGCAGGCAATACACTCATACACAAAAACAAAAATAATAAATTTAAAAAAAATAATAATTCAAATTTTAGTCATTGACTTGTTTCTAGTGCCAGAAAATTTCAGGGCAGCTTAAAAATTTATGTAACTTCATAGAAATTGTTACACCATTGCTGTTTACAACTTGGTTTTCATAGAATTTCCCTAATAGAAAATAAAACAATTATACTCGTTCTGAAGCAAATTTATTACTCAGTCCAGTGATTTCTTTAGGTCTCCCATGAGCTTGTCATCAAGTCCCACACAACCCCTCCTGCAAAGTCACATTTACTGCTCATCTTAGATGGATTCAGAGAAGCTTGAGTCAGGGGAGAGTGTGAGGGCAGCTTCATTTCTGAATATGTTTGGGAAGAACCACACAGTGTACTATTTGAAATCTCTTGAGATGGAAATTGGTAACCAAGCATCTGTATTAACCACCAAAAGTATTAGAGGGTTTATCCTTGCATTATTTTAATTAGGTTAGTAGTCAACAAACGGTGTGTCTGTTTCTGATGTTGACTTTTGATAGCTGATTTTTTTTTAATGGCATAGAATAAGGTAACATTTTAAGGAACATTAGAGAATGTTTGAAAGGTGAACCTATTGCTTAATGAGAATTCGACCTCAATCCTATTTTACTTGTATCTCGGTATCACTTTTAGTAACAAATAATTGATAAAGACTTAAAATTCTGTCAAAGAATTGGTCTTTTCCTTTTTAGTGTTTAAGAGGATAGCATTTTAAATGTTGTAGGATCCTTAGAAATCATCTCCTTTTATTCTGTTTTTCCCTATGTTTTTGGTGATGTGAATGTGTGTGTGTCTTTTGTGGATATGTGCACATGTGTGCAGATGCCCTTGGAGGCCAGAGGCATCAGATTGTCCTGAAGCTGGGGTTACAGGCTGTTGTGAGCTACTCAGTGTAGGTGCTGAGAATTGAACTTGGTTCCTCTGCAAAAGCAGCACATGACCTTAGCTGCTGAGTCATCTGTCTAGCCTCCTCTGATACTTTTTAAATGAGAGATGTTGACCTGCAGGATCTTAATTTGACTGAAGGTAATGAAGTGTTTGGTCATGTTGTCAGCCATTGTTTGTTAGTAGAATCCTCCCATTTTGAGGAGCAGATAGTGCTTTATTTGAATGATCAAGACCTTGAAGATTTTCTGATAATAAAATAATTTTGTGAACAAGGAGAGAATAATCTCAGGTCGCCAGTATACAGTTAAAAACATGATGATTAATTTATACTTGTATTACTAGATATATTAAGTTTGATGAATAAATTATATATATTTAAAAGAAAACACTTCCTGTGTTCTTTGTATGTGTTTTTGTGGATCCTAACCATCCCCTCTTACTACACTTCATGTTTTTGTCTTCCATGTGGACTCTATCCATAGGAATAAGAGCCACTGTTGTTTCCAGCACCTAGTAATACGTTGCTAATTGCCTGGTTGGCTTAAGGCTTATATGGCTGTGTATGGCAAACCTAGAGTATTTTAAATACCTGATATTTGAATTTTATTTTTTTACAGTGAACAGAGTATCTGTCAGGCAAGAGCTGCTGTGATGGTTTATGATGATGCCAATAAGAAATGGGTGCCAGCTGGTGGCTCAACTGGCTTCAGCAGAGTTCATATCTATCACCACACAGGCAACAACACATTCAGAGTGGTGGGCAGAAAGATTCAGGACCATCAGGTAAGAGTCTGTAAAAACTATTTTTTAAAGATGATATATTAAAGAAAAGTTTTGGTGTATTCTGTAACTTAAAATTATGCTTCATAAACTGATCAAAAATCTCTCTGGGAAAAATTGGATATTGACTTTCCTTCCCTTTTCTACCTCTTTTTAAAAATATCCTATTTTTATGTGTACGTGTCATGCGATGCCTGTAGAGATCAGAAGAGGACATCAGAGTCCTCTGGAACTGGAGTTATGGATGGTTGTTAACTGCCATGTGGGTGCTGGGAATTGGACCTGGGTCCTCTGCAAGAGCAGCCAGTGCTTTTAACTGCCAAGCATCTCTCCAGCCCCCTTTTCTTACCTCTTAAGAAACCTAAATATAGATGAAGGTTTATTTTTAGTTACACATTTTTATTTGTGTATACATGCATGTGTATGTTTGTGTGAGTGCATGTGCCATGGCACACACATAGAGGTCAGAGGACAGCTCTTGGGAGTCTGTTCTCTCTTGTGGGTTCTCTCTTGTGCCACCTTGTGGGATCTGGGAATCGAACTCAGGTCATCAGATCTGTGCACAAGGGCCTCTATATACTGAGCCATGCAACTGGCACAAGTAGGAGTTTTAGTCTTCATTAGATTGTTTGGCCATCCAACTGCCATTATTTGTAATCTAAAATACATTCAGAAAATAAATAATTAAATAAAATAAAATGAAAAAATAAATTCAGAGAAAACAAAGATGAAATACAATGTAAGGAGCAGATTGTATGTTTATGGGATTCATTTCTCACCAAAGATGTGGTTTATGGGGCTAGAGAAAGGATTTGGAAATATGAATGGTTTGAAAAAGTATTAAGTTCATAAGTTGTAGAAAAGTGGTAGGCATTAATGTTACTGGAATAACTAGATTTTTCTTTCCAGTTCATATCTAAGGGTGACAGCTAAGCCTTTTGGTGATTCTCTATTCTGAATTTCCAAAAAAATTACTGGATTATCTGATTACTTGTTTCTTGGTCCCTAATAGATCCTAATAGAGGGGAAGGTGCACAAGCATTAATTGTATACCAATAGCAAGAATTTGTGAATTGTAGATCACAAACTACCTTTGGAAGAAGTATTTTCCAGAAATGTAATTTAATATTTAAAGCCATCCTGCTACAAAGTACAGAGGAAATCTATTCAGTTTTTGTCTTCAGTGCCCAATGAGCTCTTGCTAAAGAATGTTAGAAGCATAGGTTTCCTCCAACACATGTGATATAGTAGTATGTAAACAGATGCTGCAGTGGCTGTGGGTTTTAAGATGATTATTGTGGACTGGTGATAATCAGGGTCTAGATTTTTATACAAACATATAGGGACTGCAGGTCAGTAGTGAGGTTGGGCTTTGAAATGGAAACTTTTGCACAAAACTGGGACTCCTAAAGAAACTGTATCTCACAAATAGAGAACAAAGAGAAATCCTCTTTCTGTCCAAGCTGATTTAGGAGCCTCTCACGGAAATGGAAACTCCAGTTTCACTTACACAAGATGGTATTGACAACACTGGTTGCAGGCTGGTGAAATTCTTAAAACACCTGATTTTTAAAATGCATTGCTTCTCTGGAGAGAAAATTTCACCGCTCTTGGTCTACGGAAATTAGTTTACTGCATATACCAAATTTACCCATTTAGTACAAACTGGCTTGCCTTGCCCCTCTGCTTCTCAGGCTACTTCTTCTCTTTGTTGCACTCCCCCTCCCCCTCCTTAGCCTCTCCTTTTCCTCTATGTTCCAGTTTCCACACTATCTTACTTGGGCTCTGGTCTTCCCGATCTCTCTACCAAGAGCTCCTCTCACCACCAGGTGGCAGTTTGCCTCTACCGTCAGCTTTCTCTCTCCATCTGTCCTTCAGTCAGGTGGTCCCTTAAGTCACAGACAAGTCAGATACTCTTCAGGGTACTGTTATGGAGAACAAAGTCAAAACAAGATAATAAAAGCTTTGTAGAAAGGGTTGAACATTCTTAATACAACATTCTGAGCTAATATCTGAGAATAAATACATTTGATGAATATTTGTCAGTACTAATGAAAATACTAAATACATACCAATGGAAAAGAAAACAAATATTTAAAATTAAATAGAAAGGTGATTGTTTACATCAGGGAATTTTCATATGAAACATTCCCAAAGTTTTATTCATAAGATAATTGAGCACATAGTAAGAGAAAAAAATTAATTCATTAAACCCAAGGAATGAAGCAAAAAGGTACCAAAGCAAGAATTGGTTAAATAAAAATAAGTATAGCCAAGTAACACCAAAGCTGCATCATTGAAAAGACCAACTAGTGGCATTAAATAAAAGCAGAAGTGAGCAATGTTAGTAATGGAAAAAAGAGCACTGAAGGTGTTATTGCAGGAAGGAAACCAAACAAGTATTAACAATATTGTAGAAAACAATACCAACAAATGGGCCACTTTCATAAAAATTTTTTCTGAAACTGACAAACATGAAAATCACAATAGGCTAATAGTTGAAAAATATACATAGGCAATTAGCTTACCTGCAAAAGGAAAAAAAAAAAAATGGGGTGCAATGACGCATGCTCTTTAAGTCCAGTACTCGGGAGGCAGGGACAGGTGAGTCTCTGAAATTGAGGCCAACTGGGAGGCTACAGCAAGACCCTAGAGCGTGTCTCAAAAAAAAAAAAGGGGGAGAGAGAAGAAGAAGAAAAGTTTTAAATAAAAGATGGCAAAGGACTCTAAAGCATTTACAAGTGAAATTTTAAAACTTGAAGATATCTGTTTTATGACAATCACAGAGTGGTATTTTGTAAAGTATTATAATTTTAATCTCTGAAACAGAACAGTGTCAGGAAAAGTTCTAAGTAGTGTCAAGTTTGAACGTACACATAGATATAAAAATCCTTAATAAAGTTACTTGCTGATCAAATACACCAATATATATGAAAGAAAGACTTCTTGACCAAATAGGGTTTATCTCTTTTTTATGTCAGTAATGTTTAGATAGCCTATTAATGCATTTATTAATGCATTTCCTCAGGAGGAAAGTCTACAGTAAAGGAAAATCAGGAAAAGCATTTGACAGAATTCAAATCATTACATAAATATCGGTATATTGAGTATAAAAATGAATCTTCTTTAGCTGATAAAGGTGGATAATGTATAAACTTAAAACAAATACTTGACTGGATGGTGTAGTGCTGAGAATATTTCCATTCAGCTTTTGAATAAATTGAGGATTTCCGCTTTCATCATTTCATTTGGTATTGTGAAGTACACTCTAGGTAACCCACAAGTACAAAAATAAATTGAAGCTTTAAGGATTAAAAAGGAAGAAACCACTGAATTTACCAGTGATAATCGTTGACATCAAAAACCCAAGAATATTTTCAGATAATCTATTCAAACTAACAAAATTGTTCAGTAAAGTTGCTAGATACAAGATTAGTACTTAAGTTAGTAACATTTATGTATACTTGACAATAAACAATTGAAATCTAATTTTAGAAAGATATTAGTTAAAAGAAATAATTGGTAATATACTTACTAGTTATAGAAATAATTGATCATGTCCTAAGAATGAATCTAATAATTAGTTTCCTTGTGTTCTTGGGTACATTGTGTATTTCCTAATGGTTATCACTCAGTCTGTTCTGTGTGGAAACATAAGTTGAATTTTTGTACGTTTCATGTAATACATCTTGATCATATTTAGACTCCCTCCCCTATCTGCACCCTCCCATATCCTACCACCAGATTTCATTCTGTAATATATGTTAAGACCTATCGAGTTGTACATGTGCACTTACCTACATGCAGACAACACACACATATAATTAAATAAAAATAATAATTAAAAAAAAAAAAGACCTATCAAGTCAAGTTTGCATCCCGAGATATTTCTCATTGTGAATTCATCCACTGGAGTCTGGTCAGTCTACTTAGTGTCACCCGCTTAAAGAAGACCAACTCGGGGCTGGAGAGATGGCTCAGTGGTTAAGAACACTGGCAGTTGTTGCAGAAGGCTCAGGTTCAGTTCAAATCCCAGCACCCACATGGCAGCTAACAACTATCCTTAACTCCAGGTTCAGGGGATCTGACAGCCTCTTCTGTCCTCCTCAGGCATTGCATGCACAGGTGCACTTACCTACATGCAGGCAATACACACATACACATAAAATAAAAATATAATAAATAAAATATTTAAAAAAAAAAAAGACCAACTCTCCCTCATCCAGCAGTGATCCGCTGCCAGTAGCTCCTCGGCTAAGGTTGGAGCTTCTTACCTGTTTGCATACTTCTATGCTGGGTTTTTGTCTGGTTTGAGTTTGTGTGTGTCTTGTACATGCTATCATTAACTTGCTAATTCTGGTTTAGATGTTGTGCTTAGGTTTTACATAGATAATAATAATGTGACCTTGAGGCAGAGATATAGTAAAGATTGTGGCTATTAAGCTTGTAAGTAAAGAAATATTGTTTCAATTATGATAAATCATAAGAGAAGATAGGGAAGGGCTCATAGCTGACTTCATAAACAAGGTTGATAGTGGGGCAAGTCACAGAAAGAGTAGGTGCCTACCACTGTTTGTAGACAGACTAAAAATGGTTAAAGCGCCTGTTAAATGGAATATACCATCCATCTGGACTCAGGCTCCCTGAGGCTGTAAGCACTGTGTGAGTTTAGGCCTATAGGGAATTCTAAGTCTAAAAGCCTGTTTTCATGGTTGTTCAGTAAATAGTTGTAAGTGAGAATATATACACTTTCTTCTTATTCTCAAAGATCACTCACAATGTTGTCCTTTCTGAAAGATTGATGAAAGAATTGATTCAGATTTATTTATTTATTTATTTATTTATTTAAACTGTTTATTCATTTAGAGACAAGGTCACTATATAAACCAGTCTGACCTGAGGTTGAGATCCATTTACCTCTCGCTCCCCACAAATTAAAAAAATTTTATATTGTGAAAGTGAATCAATTATTTACCTACTATAATTTTGATTCTAGTAATAAT